CAGAGCTCTGACAATTTCTGTGATGCCAATAATGGAATTCTTCTTCTCAACAAAATACGTGGGATAATTGGAAGCTACCGCAAAGAAGCACCTGGCTGTGTTCGCCTATCTGATGCGCAAAACCGACGTCATTTGAACTGAGATCTTCAAGCGCTACAGTTGAAAGCAGTTCGACCTTGGATAGTTATAGGCACATCTATGAGCATCTACATGCGAGTGCTCCACCTCGACCTCTTTCAACTCATACCTCGTGGAAGAGAGAGCCACAATTCTAGCAGGACTTGTGCACGCCAAAACACGGAAAGAAAAATATCAAGTCCGAATTTCATCGCAACTTGGCGCAATTTCACTCTGTCTTTCTCGTGGCATTGTCTCAAAAAATTACAAGTTCGAATTTGATCGCGACTTATGGAGCAGGTGGACACTCTGCTTAAAACTTTTTCAAGCGTGCACAGGCATTTCAGGAACGAACGAGGTGCTGTTTGGTAAACTCGGTGGCATAGGCGGACACAAAACGTCAATAAGCGTGTCTTGTGGCTTTGAGGCGAGCTTGACCGCGCCTTGTGGTGGTGGCGTCAGGCGAAAGACCGAGATCTCCCATCAACGCCACTTTCCTTTCCACGTCACGAGAGTTGTATGAGTATCCTATATTTCATAACTATTCTACCACGGTATTAAAAGTTTCTTAAAGGATGCAGCGCATCGTCCGCAGATCTGATGGCTGGGGCAATCATGTTGCTGAGAGTTATGTCCGGCAAAACCTCCTTAAAGAGGGCAGTGAAGTCGGGTTCCTCCACTTCGTATTGAGTTCGCTTTGTGCAGGGGTATGAGCTGTGGTCATGCCCTCGCACATTGAAGCACCAGGTTATAGGTTCTGCTTCGTTTGCACGCGTGGCATACCCACCCCAAGGTATCGTCGGTTTGGTTTTTGTTGTTGGCTGCGCGTACACGGGTATGGTCGCAGCTCTTTTGCAGACTTGTAGATACGCATCACCGCTCCTGAATGCGGCCCGAGCATTCAGATCCATGAGCATGACAATTTGACCAGGTTTGCAACGGTTACCGTCGGAGTCTATTTGCATTGGTCCAGTTAGACTCGCAACTAACTCGGATTGAGAAGCCGCTGCAGCTTTGGCTTTGCTCTGCCAAGCGATAATAAGGAATTTCGATAAATCGAACGGTGCTTGCAAGTCGCCTCCATAGGCAACATAAAACCCGTCTATAACGGGTTGGTTATGGCAGCACTGCACTGCAGCGCCCCTGAGGAAGAGTCGACGAAGATAATCTTGAGGTACAGCGTCAATGACACTGCCGAACTGAATCATGTGGGTGACATTGACGTGGTAAGGGCGCGTCAAATTGCGTATCTCGGTGGCGTCAGAGGATTTCATGTGGGCGAAATAGACCAATGCTGCTAGATGCTCTTCGAGGGTGACGAGTCGAACGGCGAATGAAGCCTGCGAAAAGCTATCCTTAGGATCTCCGCTGACGACCTTGTTGCCGTCACTTTTGCTATTTTGGGAAGCTACGTCTCGAGCCCGAATGATCAGCAGCCGACAATAAAGTTCTCCTTCTTGACCCCGGTCGATGGTGGCCACGTTGATTTCTTTTACAAGTGTGCGAAGACTTCGAGCAAAATTGTTGTCCGTGTTGAGTACGTCCATGGAGACAAGAGACAAGAGTGGTTCTGACGGACAAACGGTCCGCACAATCTCTCCGTCGATGCGCATCGCATAGCGCAGATTTGTGTTTACTGCTTCAGCCGCCATTTCGTGAGCAATTGCAGTGTTTCCCAGCTCAAGCAGCACTCGATGAGAGAATGCCGTCAACACATGGATTGAGCTGTGGGGGGTAAAAGTAAGTGCGGGGGAGAAGAGCTTCTTAAGGGCTGTTTTGTATGCGGCGGCCGTCGTGCGATACGTAGCGAACAACTGTATTTTGCCGCGCTTCATTCAGTAGTCTGAGCCACCAGCATATAACACCCACCGGTCGGCCGAGTTTGCGAAGATAATCTACCTGTAGCGACTCGAGCGGAGTTTCAGGCTCTTTGGGCGTGAACTGCCCAAAGCCGAAATTGCACCAAGCGGGCAAACATTCTAGTTTGGTGAACCTGGCTGAGGACGAGACCTTGGATGATGTCGGAACAAGATACTGGATCTTTGCATTTGTTCCAAGAAGAATAAACCAAAGTCGGGGGACATGGTGGCCGGTTGCTAGAATCCGACGGAGCGAAATTGGTTCGACGCCTGGAATATCAGTGCATTCATCTAGTGCTATGAAGCAGTACGGCACGTTTGGCATTTTTCTGATTAATGCCGACGCATGATCTTCACAAAAGTCATGCCAAAGTTGCCGGTAGCGTTGCTCAGGCTCGACTAGCTTGGACGAGGTGGAAGAGTGAGAAGACGCATCCACGTCCATCTGGTTGGAAATTTTATCCAACATGGCGCGCGCTTCTCTAGCAACCTCAGCGAATAGAGCGCCCCGTGGACTCCTTTCATAAGGTATTCCGGGCACATATTGATATGCCCAGCAGTCCCGGATGCTGCGGGCGGGAGCGACGCCAGGTTGCAACTTGGCTTCGGCGACCTTGAAGAACGCTCCGAGGAATGCGGCGACGCGTTCTTCCGGCTAAAATTAGGAATCAGCAACACCCGGAGAAAAACAAGATCGTATTAACCGTAAAACTGGATGACATGGTTTGATTGAAGAAACCATAGGCGGGTCCATCGCCAGGCGGCCATCCGTCGGACGGATTACTTGTGACTCGGAAGCACAAGCTGAAGAGCGGGAACTGGATCAATGTAAGATAACTGCCAGTCGAACAGTTCTACACGTACTTTATCTTGCAGGGCGTCAACACCCTTTGATTTTCCGGCGCCGCTCGGTCCATGCCACGCGATTATTTTGCCATAATACTTTTGGGGATCAAAAGCATTCTCGTATGCCGCCATTGACTGGCAAAATAGTTCGATCGTATGTCCAACGAATTGGCCGGTGAATGCGTCGTTGAGAATCTGCGCATGTTCCTCGTCTTCTTGTGAACGTTCTCGAGTAGGTTCAGCATATACCATTAGGGCAAAATTTCAAGGGTGGGTTTGCCACTCACTCCACATCTGCAGAAGAAACTCTGCCAGTTCATGTTCTTTGCCTTGGACCTCCGTCCAAAGGGTTTTTAGCTCAGGTTCAGCGATGGGGTGCTCGGTGTTGATTGGGAAGGGAGAGCCTCTCAAATAATCCCGGAGATATCTAATTTCTTCCGCTCTGTCGCCCTCATCTCGACCCATAGAAGTAATTGCAAAACGAAGCATGTTCGTCCCACGACTCTAGATCTTGAGCCACTGTGAAAGCTGTTCAACACGGGCAATATCGATGTCCATTCCGCCGTGGAAGGTGGTGCGGAGAAGGCTATGCTGAGCAATCTAAACAAGTTCTCGACACAGGCCAAACGGAAATCTTGTTGAAAGAATCAAATAGCCGGAGCAATAGGGCTGATGGCGGACGACGGATCCGCCGCGGACTGATCGCTAATCTCCGTCCAGCGACTTCACTCCAGTACAAGAGGTGTGCGATCTCTGGACGCCGGAATTTGATCTGTCCACGCGAGGTGGCGCTGATGGACAGCGGCATTGTCGGCTTGAGGCAAGATATTCAGAGAAAGAATTTGGGTAAAAGACTTATACATTGACAACACAGCAGGCAGAGAGGTGCGAGGTCTAGGTGCGCTTGGATATGCGCAGTAGGTGGTAGCTGAGTGTAGTGTTTTCGAGTCTCGATGGCCGAGTTGATGCCGCTTACCAAAAATTTCCTTATTCAGGGGGGGGGGCCCTCGTGTGAAAATTTCCATGATCCAGAGATCGAACACCTCTTGCTCCAGTATAATCCTGCAGGAATTTCGTTGCAGGAATTTTATAATGTTTCCGTCCAACAACTTGCGATCTTCGTCCAGCCGTTTCTTTCCAGATAAATCCCTCCAACAAAAATGTATATCTTTCCCTCCACGAAGATTCCGATATTTCCCTCCAGATATATCCATCCAGTAGAAAACTTTCTCTACCTCCAGTGAAATCCCTCCAGTCCAATATATAATTCTGCCTCCACTGATTTTCTTCCAGGCCATTCTTCATAATTCCATTGAGCAATTTCACTCCACGAGAATCCCAGATTTTACATCCACAGAAATCCATCCACCAGATTCTTTCATATTCTCCCTCCACGGATGTCCTTTCAGAGATTTTCGCTGAAGTACCTCCAGTGATTTCACTTCACTTAGACTCAAGATTATTGAAATCCCTCCAAGGTTTTGCAATCTCATTATGATTAGTCCATTCTCGGTCCTTCCGTTGATCCTCAATTCGCTCAGACATCACCAAAACCAGGAGAAACATGCAAGGCAATACAAAGCCTTGCAAGGGCCAAAATGCATACAAGGCTTGGTAGCCTGGTGAAAAACACAAAATGCCTTAAAAATATCTAAATTCCTTGCAAGGGCAATAAAAAGGCTTGAAAGGCTGGTGAACTTACAACAACATGCTTCAGAATGTACTAGGCTATTACACTTTGCCAGCCCAATCACTCGAACCATCAATTCACTATTTTGTCGCTTCCTTGGCCTCCCTCCTTCGCTATGGCTGTTGTTGAGACTTGAATTTATTGTATGTATGGCTGGGAATGGTGATCAGGCCACTGAGGAGCAAAAATGACTGTGGTTGGCTGGTTGAATTTCGGTCTGCTGTCAACACACATTAGTTGGCCAAAATTGTACCTGGATGAGGAAAGCCACGCATGAGCAGCGCAATAAAAGGAATTAGACACGTGCCAAACACGCGTCGAGCAATCAAGTCGCGTGTGGTCATGTCTGCCTTACGAGGGCAACAACTTTGATGGACTCCAGCCGAGACATGCCGCATTCATAAGCGCCGTGCTTTTTGCCGTCGTTCTCAGCTCTACTTAGGAGTCGACGTACCCATATTATATGATCTCACACCTACCATTGCAAGGGTTGTGTAGTGTAGTGGTTATCACTCGAGATTTTGAAGTCACGTGACAAAATTATGCGCTGACATAATCAGATTTCTCGTAACCCCGGTTCGAGCCCGGGCACGACCTTTTTGAGTTTCTGCTTTTATTTTATTTTATAATTAAGTTTCGACGCTCTTGACCCTCACCCGTCTCACAGATAAATTCCTACGTCTTACCATGTCATTATTTTCTGTCAGAAATTCCCAGATCCTGTCTTTCATTTTGGCCCGACAGCAATTAGCTAACCAATAACCACTACACTACACAAGTGATTTCCTGGGCTCGAAGAAGAAAAAGGTCTACCTTCCTTCGCACAGAACAATGCACGATTCAGTCAGTCACTTCACATTCCTACGGTGCGCGGATAGGCAATACATTGACGCGGGAGAATATCTACTCAGGGGATTTCCATTTTGGGTTGCGATGCACGTGCAGGCGTAGTAGTACAGTTTCGGTTTCTTGCTCTCGTTCAAGTTTGGCTACGACTAGAATTCGAGCGTTTCTCCTTGCTCGTCTGGTTGGGTAAACAGGTACGTCCATCAGTGTCTCACCTACCTTGGATGATGCGACCTTGTGCTTTCATCATACATATTTACAGCCACCGATATCTTCTATGGTACTTAAATCAGACATCTTTGTTGAGACGCAAATACCCTTCCAGAACCATTCCTCCCTTCTGAGTCTCGAGAACAACGTGTCGTGTGACGAATCGACATGCATCGAAAAAGATCGAAAAATCAAATCAAAAGGATAGCTGGTGCCCTCTCCATCCCAGATTATTGACCATGGTCGAATCCGACCTATTTGGCAGCCGTGAAGGAATAAGGTGGATTTCCGAAAGTGGGACGATCCCCAACTGGTTTATTTTGGGGTTCGGCATTGTCGGCCGTCAACTTGCCGCTGCGCTTATGTTCTCGTTTCAACCTGTGCCTTTTCTCTTTTCTTTCCATGGCGGGTAAGTAAAAATCTGGTTCCCCACATCTTTGCTGGACTTACCCCCGTCTAGAAAAACCCATATCTGTCGTGCCTTTGCTTTCTAAAGCCCTCCACAGAATACGTACTACACCGCCTCGTATAATTGCGTCGCCTCCCACTCGTGCGTTCCTTGCTTTCACTGGTCTGCCCGTCATTCAGAGCCCGTTTTCAGAGCCACGTAGAGCCGCTGTATCGCTCATCATTCGCGTCGTTCCCGCCCCAAATGCTGTCCTCCCCGAAGAGACTTCAAATCCAACACTCTCCGACTTCTTCGAGCTCGACTGGGTGAATGACCCAGCGGCTCGTCCCGAGATTCTCTTCTTGCAGCGCGAAAATCCTGCCCCAGAAGACTCGGGGATGTCCAGAATGCGCAATACGCATGAGGCGCATGTCGCGTTTCCTGGAGGCAGAACGGAGGCGGACGATGAAGGTGGACTTTATACTGGTATGTTTGTCTGTCTCGCTCCTGCCCCAACCCCTCGTTTGACGATAGCACACGAAAGCCATGCGGCAAACGTGGGAGGAAATAGGCATTGACCTCGCCGAGAAGGATTATACTTGTATCGGACAGCTGGATGACAGAGAGATAACGACATCGTTGGGAAAACGACTCTTAATGATCCTCTCGCCTTTCGTTTTCCTTCAAGTAACCCCCCATGCACCACCTCCAGAGCCCACGCCCTCCACTACTCTGCACTGGACACCCTTGGCATCGCTCGTCTCTGCGCACGCTCCTCCCAGGTGGTCGACCGTTACTGTAGACGCCGCTTCTCGTCTTGCACCGAAACATTCCACTGCTCTGCGCCTGCTGGTTCAGGCATTGGTGGGCAGCATGGAATTCCCCGCGATTATTGTGCAGCCCACGTCCCCGCCGTCTGTAAGCCCGGACGGCAAACCAAACATCGACATTTTGGAGAAGGGCATTTTGCACTCTGGCCGACCGCAGAAACTGAAGCTCTGGGGTTTGTCTTTGGGTATGACACTCGACCTAATGGCGTACATGGCCCTGCCGGCGCCTTCCTCGATGCGCGACAACTCCGAGGCCCACAAGGCCCACTCTGAATCGTCGTCCCCGATTTCACCTATAATGCAGCTTCCGTATCAAACTGGCGCAGACGGCATCCGTATGGACGTTGTCGCACCTAGTTTGGCTAGTGTGTTCCCGCGATTTTCTTACCCTGACGTCAATTTCTGGATATGGTGTGTTTGAAAATGGTTTCCACGAAATGGTTGCTTATTCCATCCCAGGGTGTTTGGTAAGCGGTATAGAGAGGTTGTGCGCGGATGGGAGGCCAGTGTCCGAGGTGGGGGTACAAATGATCGCCGGTTCGTTTCCTGTCTTGCGTTGGTGAATGCCTCTACTCACGCTGTTTCAGAATAAATTGGTCGGGATCTGCACTGAGCACATTCTATGCCGCAATTCGCAAGGCTCTCGTCGTGGTCATTGTCGCGCGCGCACTGGGAATACTCTTTGGAGTTGGGTTCGCAATCTGGTGGGTATTTGGACAGTAGACGTTGCATAGAGATACTCGCAGCAGCTTTTATACACGGTTTAATCGTGGTCAGGGTCTATTGTAGCTGTTTTCTATTGTAACTTGTACGCGATCCTCGCTTCATGCTTCTTTCATAGTTGTTACAATGGTAAACCGCAAACTTCGCAATCAGTACCACCATGCGCGTTCTCAAATGTACAATGAGGACAGATCCGGATACCGGCGCTGGATCCTGCACCGTCTCCACTCCCTCCTGCCGCTGCTTGTTCGGCTGCGATTTGGTCCAAAACTTCTTGTGGGATGTCATCGTCCCTCGACGAGGTCATCGCCGGACCCGCTGGTAAGTATCAGACAAGAGAAACATATGACAAGATGAAGAAAAAAACATACATCCGCTTTCCCGCGTAAACGTCATCAGCGTGTTCCAGCCTTCAGTAGCCAGCAGTGGGTCCAGTTGACTGAGGTCCTCTAACAGCGTAGGCGAAGTCACGATGCGCATCATCAACTTCACGTCCTCCTGCGGAAAACGTTAGGTCCTTGGAACGGATTTTCAAAAGGGGACACCCACAGGAGAAAACAATTGAGTCGTGTCCAGGAAAGCGACAAGATGCCAATCGCTCAACCATGTTGCCAGCTCCCTCCGCTTGTGGGCCTCCCCGGGTTTGGCGATCCGGCTGTCCACGATGTTCGGCGCGTCCAACCCGGCGAGAGTACTGATTACTCTTTCCACGCGCTGGTCTTCCAAACCAGGCCGATTCTCAATGGCAAACTTCGTAGACTGGAACAAAGGTGACGGATTTTGCGGGAAGCCGTGGGTCACCTGTAAAAGAAATCTGTTTTGTTTTCCGGACGTGAAAACTTTGAAACGTACGTTAACCATAAGATATTCGACGGGGAAGGCTGGCTTGGCGGTCTTCTTCACCTCGAGTCCATACTCGTTCTTGAAAGAGAAAAAGACATCAGGGACATATCTCGCCGACCCTTGCGTTCGGTCCTCCTCCTTTACCCGAACAATTCCAGGGTCAACACTCGCTTCTATCATGTCTGCCTCAACCATGGCACAGGCCTGTTCAGAAACCTGGTACGCCGCGATATCTATCTGCCCATCCTCTGTGCCGGTCAGGATAGCGGTGACCAGCCTTGACGCAAATTGGCCTGTGGGCGAAGACTTGGAAGGCGTCGGGTTGGATTTTTGCATAGTAGCAGCAAAGATTGCCTCTAACGAAGACATGTAAAAGGAACCAGGATGCCGCTTGTAAACGTTCTTTGATCGATCCTCGGCCGTTGCAGTCAAGTCGGTGAAGATGTATCCAACGACAGTCAAAGGCGTCGCGGCCGAGGCAGATAGTTCCCGAATTCGCGGTTCTTCCTCCCATGGCAGACCCAAAGTGAGGCCGTCGAGCTCACCCTCTTGGGGGGGTTCGTATATGGCTTCAACTACAGCCTTGACACCCATTGGGACCTTGTCATACGGCTGATAGCGCCCAATTAACCAACCGAATCGTTGGAAACCAGTGGACCGCCAAGCGTGCAAAAAACGGTCGATCACGTCGGTCGAGGCAATCTCGAGATGGTCGACCATTCGGAAAGGCTGCGACTGCAGGGTTATAGCAGAGGGTTGACAAGATGTGCAGATACCTGCGGGCCACGATGGATGGCCACTAGGGCAAGGCACCTTGACTTTGTAGGAAAGCGGAGTGAGGGGAGGGAGGGAGGATGTGACAGACGCAGACGATTTGGGGGTAATTTGCTTCAAATACGCGTGGTATGAGAGATGTTTGATTGCATGTTCCTTGTGGTACAGAGCATTGTATGGTTCGAGAGGCATGCAGTAATCGCACATTCCGTTGGTGGCGTGAGTGCAGAACCGAGCATCGCGACCGCGAGGAATTTTTCCGTCTTGGGATCGCCAGTAGACGTCCACCGGATCTTCCTTCACAGTCTCCCATATCCGGGCCGACTCAGGACCAGGGGCAACGCTGCTGGGCTGAGTGGAAGAACTTGACGCAGAAGCTTCCTTGGACTGATAGGTCACGAAAACCAGATCAGTATGGCTACGACAACATTAGGCGTGCACGGAATATCCAAGTAGCAGGGAAGACATACCTGAGACCCAAACTTTTCAATGATCGGCCTTTCAAGCTCGAAAATTTCGCTTCATTGCCACGAGGTTGGTTGGATATGGTGAAGCTCGATGGGTCTGCATCCGGGGCCGTTTCCAGGATCTAGAGAAATCATCAGTCCGAGACTTACTCTTTGGATAGCACGAACTTTAGCCAACAGCTCTGAAATATCGGCTGTGGGTTCGAGATCAAAGCGAAAGTTGCCGTCCTTGGATCTGACTCTAAGAAGCTGGGAACAGCTTTAGAGTGGGTTTGGACTGGTCAAAGGAGCGAAAAACACGTACCATGGTGAAAGTATGAAGCAACAATAATTGAGACGCGTAATGCTCTCCTAATCGGGAAAGTCATCGCTCAGCCACCCGTCGACCGCGTCCGGGCCGGCGCTCTCTCCCTCAATCAGCGCCTACGCAAAATCGGCGCCATGACTTCTGTTTTACAGCTTTTGACTCTCCCAGTCAACTCCAAGGGCTTCACCGCCATTCCGGAGTCAATCGCT